ATATCTGAACAATCAGTTGTATGGGAGCTATATGTTATAGTGGTCCGATTCTTCCGGTTCCGACAAATGATTAATACATTATAAAAATACACCCACCTACCAAATTTAATCCGGATATCTCGAAAACTGAGACTAGATTGCATACAAACAGACAGACGGACAGACGGACATGGCTAAATCAACTCAGCTCGACGTTCTGATCATATAGTATACATTTTCATGGGTATATCTCTTTTTGTTCTGGTACTTACAAACATCGGACCAAAGTTATAATACCATTTCATGCTCATGAAAGGTATAAAAATGTGAATCCCCACAGTGTAATAATGTTTGCTTATTTTATTAGATTTCCATACTATTAATCATTGTAAGCAATCCCTCGAAATTTTGCATGACGTAATTGACAAATTAATGGAGGACGAACAGCGCAATGATCTATCTAATTCGCGCAGCGCCACGAATGATTATGAAAATGCTTACCGTCAGCGAACTTTGTACGCTTTAATGAAGTGCCTGGAGGTGCTCTATGATAATCTTTCATTTGAAGATCGATTAACTACAGAGTCTTATTCGTGGCTGCTTAACTTCTGCAAGCGCTATGAGGTGAAGTCTAAAAATTTGAGCTTAGTGCACAAGCTTCTATTCACACAGCGCCAAAAAACACATTCTGGCGCATTCTTCAACACGATATCATTACAATTGTGCGGCATTTGGGGTGCCGTGACTGACGAATTATACGAGAGTGAGGTGAGTGAGATAAATATTAGTTCTAACAAGTTTTTGTAATTACTTAGTTTATATGTTCAATAGTGCCCACCTGCATTCACCCTGAAGTCCTTAACGATGGAAAGTGCTGAGTCATATTTCACGTATCTATGCCAGGCTTTGCGCAAGCAATTAGATGACGCAGACTATTTCATTCAAAAAGCAAACAACTTAAACTTCAGATATCGTCTTATAACCGAAGACGAGCGAGACATGTGCCTTAGTCAGCTGCGTTCTATGGAGCGTTCTATTTGTTCGCAGCTAGTTCATATCTCAAATGCCTTGATAAACTTGGCGAACGCTTGCATTCCTTTGGGTACACTCATGGACCAACTTTTGAAACTTCTTGTACAACACTACATGTGTCTAAAAAATCTGACTAAACACTTTTTGGGATGCGTTGGAACATCACAAGTTTGCATGAAAACCACAAGGTGGGTAGATTTGTTTGTCAAAAATTTCTCAGCACCATCGAAACCTTACGTTTTTACCTGTTTTCAGGTTCGAATTTCTCTTGCGTGCCGTTGGAAAATCGCTTCCTACAAACATTTATGCGCTCGTCTCTTACATCGAAGCGAATGTAATAGATAAAGAACAGCCACAGGGTAAACACTCAAATCCCAAAGCGGAGAGTTCCAAAATTTTACGAGAAACAAAACTAATTCCTAAAGTGGTACTACATCTAGAGACTTTCAATCGTTTTGTAATAGTTTTATCAAAAAAAACTAATAGCCGCATAGCAAATTTTCTGCATCAAGGAACTGTACATGATTTCCGTTTCCATTCTCATGCATTAAAAACGGCTATAGAACGTACATTTTCTCATAGTAGTGAAATTTCTGTAGATAGCAGTGTTGAAAGCATGAAACCAGAAACTGTTGAAGACGACTTTTTGAAGCGCATAGAAACTAATACGCTGCCTAATGAAAATGATAAAAAGCGCAAAAAACGCGATCTCAATATACCCTGTCGCAATGAAAAAGAAGTTAGTGAGATCGAAAACTGCGATGGTAATGTTAACGAGAGGGAGGACAGAGATGAATGTGATGGAACATCCTCTAGTACCAGCTCCATATCGATGTCAAAATCAAATTCAAAACCGTCTAAGAAAACGCAAAAACCGTCGAAACGCAAGCTACGTAGTTGTGATAATGACAGTTATGTCAACTATAGTGATGATAATGGAGTCACGAAGCAGCCTTTAAATATTGCTGAGTCTAATCGCCGGGTTCGAAAAGTGATTGGCTGTCAAAGATTGAATGAAAATGAAGCTGAGAGTGAGGCATGCTCATCTCCGACACCAGAGAGCGTAGAACTCTTGGAGCATGAAAGCAACCAGGAATCAGCCTCACAGTTGTTTAAAAATTTGGCGAAAATCAATAAGAAAGCAAAAAAACGCACACTTCAGGAAACTGATGATAATGAGGGAGTAAATGTAGTAAACACAAGGCCCTCGAAAAAACGGCGTGGACGCTAGTCGATAATATACAACTACGTACATATATATTTTTTCATGTAATTGATTCCAATGGACAGTTGCTCAAATTTTGAGCTTTTACTAAACTTATTGATTGCGTTTCGATATTTGGTAAATAAAAATGATTTCCCAATATTTATTTTTTCCACGTGGTCTTTATATGAAATTGGTAAAGCCGACTTATAAAAAATTAATGTGAGGCCACACCCGTCATACGTCATGATAAGTTTTGTTTGGAGACAAACCGGTTTCGACGTTGCCATCTTCCGACTCTGCAAGCCTGAGGCCGAGAAAGCGGGCGGTGTCGAGGGGCGCGGTCCAGAGCGCGGCTGGTGTTCGGGTCGTAGGGTTGAAGGTTGGGTGTTGTGAGAACCTTGCCCACATGCGGGCAGTGTTGCCAGAGAAAAATTTCGTTTGGAGCAGTCGAAAAAGAGCTAAATAATACTAATAGTAGCTAAAATGAAAATCTACATATTTTTGTTAAGGTTGAGCATTTATTGACGTAAGGTTGTTTTTACGTTTTCGGCAGTTTTAATAAAAACAACGAATTTTATAAGTTTAAGTGCTGAAAAAAACCTTTTAAAACCAAAATAAGGTGCACATATTTCGAATTCGTTGGTATGGCACTTATAACAGTGAACTAAAAATATTTTACAAACTGTTAAAGTCTGTAATTTCAGATATTTTTTTTTTAAGTTTTACCAAAGAATGTAGATAACAAGAAGGGACAACTCGTCTAATCAAAAAACACACTAAGGCAAAATAGAAGGCACCCCCTTGTTGCGCACTTTCGCTACAGCGAAATTTCTTTACTACTTCAATGAGGAAGGAATCCGAATCCCTATGAAGCCAAATAATAGAGGAGCACTTACAACGTAGAAAAATCTGCAAGTGCAATTTTTTCCGAATGGTATCTAATTAAACTGTAAATCAACTTTTTTTCTGGGTATTGGACCAAACCAATTATTTTAAGAGATTAAGTGATAGGTAAAAAAGTAANACCCTGTCGCAATGAAAAAGAAGTTAGTGAGATCGAAAACTGCGATGGTAATGTTAACGAGAGGGAGGACAGAGATGAATGTGATGGAACATCCTCTAGTACCAGCTCCATATCGATGTCAAAATCAAATTCAAAACCGTCTAAGAAAACGCAAAAACCGTCGNTCCCTGTCGCAATGAAAAAGAAGTTAGTGAGATCGAAAACTGCGATAGTAATGTTAACGAGAGGGAGGACAGAGATGAATGTGATGGAACATCCTCTAGTACCAGCTCCACGATGTCAAAATCAAATTCAAAACCGTCTAAGAAAACGCAAAAACCGTCGAAACGCAAGCTACGTAGTTGTGATNTCTAAAACTATAGACGTCGTCCTCCTTTTTCTATATTTTATGTAGAAAAGTCATATGTTGAGTTAATAGTTGTGTTTTCGTATTCTCCAGCAAAAAATATCCAGTAACTTGCCAGTAACCAAATTTCGGAGAGTAAGCCAATATTTACTCCCAATNGAAACGCAAGCTACGTAGTTGTGATAATGACAGTTATGTCAACTATAGTGATGATAATGGAGTCACGAAGCAGCCTTTAAATATTGCTGAGTCTAATCGCCGGGTTCGAAAAGTGATTGGCTGTCAAAGATTGAATGAAAATGAAGCTGAGAGTGAGGCATGCTCATCTCCGACACCAGAGAGCGTAGAACTCTTGGAGCATGAAAGCAACCAGGAATCAGCCTCACAGTTGTTTAAAAATTTGGCGAAAATCAATAAGAAAGCAAAAAAACGCACACTTCAGGAAACTGATGATAATGAGGTAGTAAATGTAGTAAACACAAGGCCCTCGAAAAAACGGCGTGGACGCTAGTCGATAATATACAACTACGTACATATATATTTTTTCATGTAATTGATTCCAATGGACAGTTGCTCAAATTTTGAGCTTTTACTAAACTTATTGATTGCGTTTCGATATTTGGTAAATAAAAATGATTTCCCAATATTTATTTTTTCCACGTGGTCTTTATATGAAATTGGTAAAGCCGACTTATAAAAAATTAATGTGAGGCCACACCCGTCATACGTCATGATAAGTTTTGTTTGGAGACAAACCGGTTTCGACGTTGCCATCTTCCGACTCTGCAAGCCTGAGGCCGAGAAAGCGGGCGGTGTCGAGGGGCGCGGTCCAGAGCGCGGCTGGTGTTCGGGTCGTAGGGTTGAAGGTTGGGTGTTGTGAGAACCTTGCCCACATGCGGGCAGTGTTGCCAGAGAAAAATTTCGTTTGGAGCAGTCNCAACTGTCATTTTTGCTCTCTCAATTTCCCCTATTTTGCTAGTTTCTTGCAAGTTTTTGCGTACGAAAACGACATCCAGTAAAAAACCAGTAAAATTAGTACTGGATTTACTGGATAGTGCGTACGCNCAAGCTACGTAGTTGTGATAATGACAGTTATGTCAACTATAGTGATGATAATGGAGTCACGAAGCAGCCTTTAAATATTGCTGAGTCTAATCGCCGAGTTCGAAAAGTGATTGGCTGTCAAAGATTGAATGAAAATGAAGCTGAGAGTGAGACATGCTCATCTCCGACACCAGAGAGCGTAGAACTCTTGGAGCATGAAAGCAACCAGGAATCAGCCTCACAGTTGTTTAAAAATTTGGCGAAAATCAATAAGAAAGCAAAAAAACGCACACTTCAGGAAACTGATGATAATGAGGGAGTAAATGTAGTAAACACAAGGCCCTCGAAAAAACGGCGTGGACGCTAGTCGATAATATACAACTACGTACATATATATTTTTTCATGTAATTGATTCCAATGGACAGTTGCTCAAATTTTGAGCTTTTACTAAACTTATTGATTGCGTTTCGATATNAATGGTTAGATAAATTTTAGAAGACAAGTAAAGTGAAATGGCTGTCCGCTTAATTCAACCTGGAACATTCCGACACTTATTGTTTATAAACAAAGTTCCGCGAAATTTAAAGCTTCAGCAACGAATTTATCTTCTAGCTAATTCAACAGAAACTCATTCATTTAGCTTGCGCTATTTACATGTAAAAACATATGACAAAGATGCCGGTTGGGATGAACAACGCCGCGTTAACAAGTTGCAAAAAGATCATACAATACCTGGACAGATGAGCACCGATGATTTATCCTCCCAAAAAATAAAGAATTATTCGGAGAACCCTCGTGAGAAATGCAACGATGCCGATATATTTGGATCCAGTACCTTACCTGAAATAAGTGAAGATCCAGGTGATTTGGTTGAAGAGCAATATACCACTAACCTGCAAAACAAATCCATGAGACAGATTGATTACTCGCGTCTTATAAAATCCCATCTCAAAGAGAAAAGAGTGAAAGAGGCTATAGCAGTGCTGGAGGTGCAAATGTTAAAACAAGATCGAGCGAAACCTGATGCTTACATATATAATTTACTGATAAGTGGTTGCGCAAAAGCGGGATATACACGTAAAGCCTTTAACCTGTTTACTAAAATGCGCCAAAGGGGATTAAAAGTAAAGGGCGGTATTTATACTTCATTATTCAATGCATGTGCAAATGCCCCATCCACGGTATACGGTCTGGAACAAGCAAATAAATTACGTGAAATATTGATACAAAAAGGTTATGAACCAAATGTAAAGAATTACAACGCTATGATCAAAGCCTACGGCCGGTGTGGGGATGTAAAGACCGCCTATATGTTGGCCGATGAATTATTGGAAAAGCAACTGACGTTAGATATAGACACATTTAATTTTCTGCTACAAGCATGTGCAAGTGACGTCGAAACGGGATTTCGGTGAATATTTTAATAACTTTTTTTATTTCACTCAAGTGCTCATATAAACTTTTTATTTCAGCCATTGTCTTCTTACTTGGCACAAGATGAAACAGAGAGGTTTGAAACCAGATTATTATACTTTCAGCGGTGTTTTACGTTGTGTGAGAGACTGTGGCTTTGGTGACCTTGACTCTATGGAAAAAGTATTGCAGGAAATCCTTTATGAACGTCCTGAAATGCTTCCTTGGGGACAAACACATGGAGAGCAAATATGTTTAAAAACTGATGGAAAACCATCAAATCTTCCCTACGTTGAGCAAAACCCTCAGGCGATAGAGATTCAAAATGAAGCCGATCAATTGGAAATTCCAAATTTATTGGCAATAGAACCTCATTTAGGCAGCCTTGTTTCATTGAGTCAAGTTACGTGTCCTCATGAACGTTTCTTACTTCTTGGAGGCTTGACTGGGTTTTTGGGAATTATGAAAGAAAATGATGTTACTCCTGATATAGAAATGTTTACCACTCTGCTGGAGGTTGTACCGCCTACATATGCTGCCGAAAAGCATTTATTATCATTTGTCCGCAAAATAGGTTTAAAAGCCGACATTGACTTTTTTAACATTCTTATAAAAAAACGATCGATGAGATTTGACTATGAAGGAGCTAAGGAAGTGATGTCAATGATACGCACAGCCGGACTGCAGCCCGATATTGTTACCTATGGTGTACTAGCGTTGGGCTGCCAAACGGAAGTGGAAGCTAGGGAATTGCTGCAACAAATGCGTGAAAATGGGATAAGGTCAGTTGAAAGATTGTATATGAGGCCGTAAAAGCAGAATTGCCTAACTTAAAAAACAACAACAACAACAACGGTTTTGTTTTGTACTTGAAATAGTTTCAAATGTGATAAATTTAGTAGTTTGTTTAAATTTAAGGTATAAAGCTACAAAGCGTTCCTTAAAATCATAGAACAAGCGACTTTTCAACCGACTTCAAAAAAGTTGGGATATTCGGTTCGTCGGAATATTTTTATTTTATTTTTATTATTTTTTATGTACATATCTGTGTTCTTTTATGTATATATGTTACCGCATAATTTTGGACTACGTTAACCAATTTCGATAATTCTTTTTTCATCGGAAAGGTGGTACCTCAAGGGTGGTCTCAGTAATTTTGTTTGGATCCGATAATTTGATCGTGGAAAGAATTAACACTTATAGTTTTATATAAGAATTAAAGTCGGTTTTGTTTTTTGCTTAAAAATTACTTGTATTTTAAAGTTTCTCATATTTAATACTATTTTAAGTGCTTGAGTAAAAGAAATTGTTGGTTAGCCATTTTTACACTCACGGCCTCATGTGTATGTATGTATATATGAAATTTTTTTCGGAAATGGGTGTTTTAACATACCCACACCAATTTTCTATATTAATTAAAATATGTACAGTAGCAAACAATAATTCGATAATATATTTTAGACAAAGTTCATACTACCCGAAAAAAAACATAAAAATAAAACATATAAATTTTGTGCAAATCTCAGGAAAGTTCAATAATTTTGCACACTAATTTTCAACATTCTATTAAAATTTTAGTAGCAAAATCCTAAGTTATCAGGATTATAGCCCATTCACTTTTAGTATGACAATGCACAAGTTTGAAGTTGTTGAAAAATCGCGTTGATTTGTGACAATTTTTTTCACGCTGTTTCTTCCAAACAAAGTATGATCGACAAAATTTTTTGTATGGCAGAAAATAATCAGCCTCATTGCGAGAGTCGTGCCGAATGCAAGTCGTTTTTCGAGAGTCGAATCGTATCGAAAATTTAGCGCCATTGCCTAAAATTTCCACTCGACTAGTGTATTAAAACGGAAAAACTTGGCAGCACTGCATAGTTTTCGACAATTTTCGTCGTTTACTTATTTCAGCACGACAGTAGACAATGCTAATGTTGTCGAGTCGTACAATTCAGCTTAATTTACGACTTACGCAATGAGGCTGAATAACCATCGTGCAGTTCCGTAAGTAACGTAACTCTTCTACTTTACGTTTCTTTCCGGCAGGCTGTAGGTGTGTTTTTGGTTAGTGTATTGGTGTTTTTGGTTCAATGTGTTGCATATTTTAAATAAATTGTAATAGAAATGGAAGAAATTGTAATACAAATGAAAGGAATTGCAAAAGATAAGAGCAAATGCCCAAAACAGGTGATCTCAGCTGAAGGCATTTTTTGGCAAATCAGTGCCATGTGCTAGCAACTTCAACCTCGCACTATGTTATATTAATATTGTATGGGCTATAAAACTGCATACTTAAAATTTTTGTGGAAAATCTTAACAGAAATCGCATTTAGTATGGTAATTTCTTGAGTTTTGCACAAAGTTTAGAGATATTATTTTTATGTTTTTTGGTGTAGTATGAAATGTATTAAACAAATATCGAAAAGAAATTAGAGTAACAAAAAAAAAGAGAGGGCTTATATTCAATACCTTCTGTATGCACTTTTCACAAAAATGAGATTCTGATATAAAATCCACATAAGACTTAACTGTCATCGGTGATATTAAATCTGACCTTGTATAACGCTTGACAGAAGAATTTACTATTAACTTGCAAAGTCAGTTGTTGTTGTTAACATCAGTGATGACAGGTAAGTCCAAGATGGGTTCTAACATCACAAAGTAGTTTTTGTGAAAATTGCAGATAGAGGGTATGAAATATAAGCCCTCGTTATATTGCGAAAAATTCCCTGAGCGAATACTTTTGTTTGCCACTGTATGTGGTTTTGTTTTATTCTTCCATTTGAACAAATATTCTCAAAAATTTTAAAGCAAAACCAAAACCAAATTTTCCAAGTTTATTTTTGTTTTTGAATGGGAACGATTTATTCACATGGAATGTGCGATAAGGCTGATTGTATACTTTTTCCTATTTCTTATTTCCCTTAATGATTCTTAAACTATAGAATGAATATGCAAATCTTGGGTGCGATGTTGCGTCAGGGGATCGGCCATAGGAATTTTCCATATGTCATTGAAATTTTACAAATTAGTTTGGATGAACATATTAAACCTAATGACATTTTTCTTACACATCTTTATAAATTCTATGATCGTTGTGCGCGTTCAATTGATGAAAGAGTAAGTACGCGAAAAACATCTTGTACACATATATATTCGTATGTATTTAGGTGTTCGTGCCTTCGCTTGAACCACATGGAGATTACTCCTCTGTAACTCGACCTTAATTCGCTCACAGATTGATACTTACGGCGCCATCTATCGAAGTAGTACGAACCAATGCTTGATCGGGTAGCAGCGCTCGGCTGTCGTACTTGTCAGTACGCTTTTTACCTTCATTTTATTAGCTCGGGATGTAACTATGTAATATTGATGCGCCTAAAAGATGCAGCGATTTCTATTCTCAAGTTACCTAAAGACAGTACGAATGGCAATTATAATAGAGAGGCTTCAGTTTTTTAAACTATAATTTTAGTTGCGTTCCAGATACTCACCATATTCACGATTTGCAGGTTTTTTTGCAGGAAAGCGTTCCAAGTGCCAAAAAAACCTGCAAGTCAAACCACTTTTGTGAGAGTTACTTGCTCTCTCTCTCTCAGTCAGAAGTTGCAGGTTTTATTCCAATTTTATTCTGAAGTTTTTCTGTCTGCAAGTTCATGATAGGCAGGGTTGCATTTGTAAACAAAAACATAGCAAAGAACATTAAGCGCCACGGAGACAATCAAATAAATACTTTAAGCATTGCATATGTGTGAGATTGGCTCGTGTATTGCCCGCAAACGTACAAATAAACGCGTTAATTCAACAAGCAATTTCTTTTTCTTGTCCGTGCACTTACTCACCACGACGATCAGAAGGCAAATGCGCTTGTTTTTTGTCAAGCAAAACGCGAAACGGTTGATAAAGATATTTGATCGTCTCCATGGCGCTTAACATTAAAATAAAGTGGAAGTAGTTACAGGAAAAGTGGTTTTTCGCGTTCCAGGTG